CCCCCGGTGGGCCTCGGCTCTGAAAGTGCCCCCCCGCCGATGTAAGTCGCCCACTGCAGCTACTTGCATTGCCTTGCCTGTTGGCTGTCAGCCCCGTGCGGGGGAAGGGGGCTTCAGCGGTCAGTGCCCCACAATACCATTGGATGTGCTCCTGGTGAGGACGATGGACGGAGCTAGCGTGGCCGTGAAATGCCACTTTAATTGCTGTGGTGGCTGTCCGGCGACTTAAGGTGGCAGTGTAGCCACCCCCCAAGCAGCGTGGTCCTGGTGCAGGGTCCCCATAGGCCTGTTCTCAGCTGCCACCCAGAGGTGCAGGGCTGCCCCAGAGGCTGGTTCATATGGGAGCGTCAGGGAGAGAGGCTCAGACTTACAGGGTAGAGCAGAGCTTCCCCGGATGGCAGCTCACGGGGGAGGGGGGAGAGCGGGGGTGCAGAGAAAGCGCCTCAGACCACCTAGAATGGCTCAGACACCCCCAGACCACAAACAGGAGGGGAGAATATGGGGCAGGCGCGCCCCCTCTCCTAATCCCTTCACTCACTTTGCCACCCAGCCCTATGTCACTTCTCCAGTCCTCACCCCCTTCCCCGACCCCTTGTGGTCCCCTTCCCATAATCCCCCCACTCCTTGCCACAGCCCCTCCTCCCCATGCCTTTACCCCTATTTCCCCCTCCCCTTCCAGCAAACATTCACATATTTCATCTTTTTCTTTAAAAATAATAATAGTTTGAACCCCTGCTGAACTCAAGAATGCCCATCCCGCACCTAACAACAGCCCGTGGACAGGGGCCACACGCCTGCAGCTCATCTTCTTGCCAAGGGTTGGGTGTGACTCGATAGGGCTGGGGCGCAGGGCAGGAGATCAATGACCTCAGCAGATCCCCCAGGGGCCAATCAGGGCCTGGGACTAATTTCTCTCTGACAAGCCTCTTCACAAGTCTGTGGAATCCGATTGGTTCACAGATGTTAGGCACACGCCCATCTAAAGAGCCAGACTCTGTTTCAGATTCCATTTGGATTCCCCGTAGGGGCAGAGGATGTCATTCAGTAGTAGGGTGACCAGACAGTACATGTGAAAAATCGGGACAGGGGATGGGGGGGTAATAGGTGCACATATAAGAAAAAGACCCTAAAATCGGAACTGTCCCTATAAAATCGGGACATCTGGTCGCCCTATGTAGTAGTTGGGTTAAATGTCAAGCGATTAAGACCATTTGGAGCACAATCAGACACATGGTTTGATCCCCAGGTCTGTGCAAAAAACTTCGGCAGAATTTTTCAACCATAAGGAATGCTGGGTTTGGGGGCGGGTGGCACCTCGGAAACTTCTTGCTCAAATGACTCCAGATTTGGATCACTAACTCTACCCAGCACGCCTATGAGGCGCACCAGATTTCAAAGCAGTACGAATGAGCATATGGATTTTAGAGCAGTGGTTCCCAACGAGGGGTACACAGAGGCCTTCCGGGGGTACATCAGCGCATCTGGATATTTGCCTAGTTTTATAACAGGCTACAGAAAAAGCTCTACCGAAGTCAGTACAAACTAAAATTTCATACAGGCAACGGCTTGTTGATATTGCCCTGTGCACTAGACACTGAAAAGTAAGTACAATATTTATATCCCAATTGATTTATTTCATAATTACATGGTAAAAACGAGAAAGGCAGAAATTGTTCAGTCCTAGCGTGGCTGGGGCACGTTTGTGTTTTTATGTGTGGTTGTGTAAGCAAGTCGTTTTGAAGTGAAGTGTAACTTGGGGGTACGCAAGACAAATCCGACTCCTGAGAGGGGTCCAGTTGTCTGGAAAGGTTTTAGAGCACTGAGAAAAGTCAGCCTTCAGACAGAAAAGAGTTCTCAACCTTAGCTCCATCGGAGCTGCCTCAGCGTTAGCCCCATGCGCTCCTGCTGCTGGTTCCTTGTCCATTTTCTGAGCAGCGGCAGCGTGCAATCAATCAAAGCAAATGGCCGGGAGACTCTCATCACGGGCGGGCTGGGAAGGGGGCCGCTGACATCAGGGATCAACCCGCAGCAGAGAGCCCAGCTCTCAGAACTGCTGTGAAGTCCACATCACCAACGCACTGCCAGGCTACTGCCCTTGGTCGACCCGGTAGCTTTGAACACGGAACGGCATTCAGCGTCCCGCGGCAACGGAGCCAGTCTGCACCACTGATCAGTTTCACCCCTGTGGTTCCAGGTGAAAGGAGATCTGACAGAAATGTCAAATTCTAGAGGAAATGACCCCACTGGGGGCATGTAGAGGCCAGGAAAGGGCTAGAGTTGGTAACCAAGCAGCTGCCGTGTGATCTCTGGTGTCCACGCCTTATAAACAACTTCCTCAAAAAACAAGGGAAATTCCCGTTCAAATACTTTAAGGCAGAGTTCTGATTGCCCTCGTGCCCTTCCCAGAAATGGAGAGCAACTAAATGTAACCCTCTGCACATGGGACACGCAGCGGTAAGGGACGTGTCCCCCCCCCCCAAATGCAACCTTAACTCTGCCCCCACGGAGCGATGCCCCAACCCACCCCTGGCAGACGTGGTGCTGCTCTCCTCCCAGCTGGGACGGAGCACTGTGGGCCACGTTCAGGCTTAGGGAATAGCAGCTGGCTATGCCCAGCCTGGGCCCGACCACTTCGCCTGCTCTGTGCAGGCCACCCCAGACCCGCCAGATGCCCCAACGTCTGGAGCCTCTGGGAGCACCCCTTCACTCCCCCCTGCCTTGCAGTGCATGGTCACGTATCTTCTCATCCCCACAGCGTTCCCCTCCCTTCACAAACCACATAGCTCAGCCCAGGAACAAGGGGTCCCTGATCACCCTGGGGACAGATGCCCCTCTCCTCCTATCACGGTGCAACCTACCTACCTAGCCAATTCAGCTGGCCCTAGCATAGCGCAGGTACAGACAACAGCATGTTCACAGAGTCATTCCTTGTGGGCAGTCCCAGTGGCCTAATGGATAAGGCATTGGCTTCCTAAGCCAGGGATTGTGGGTTCAAGTCCGATCTGGGTTGAAAAACTACTCTGGCTGGAGCCTACTCTTAGGGATGGGACATGGCACCTTTTTCCCCTCCCCTCGAGGGTGCCCCAGCTCTGATCCAGCCCCAGGGAATGGGACCCTCTAGGCTGGGGGATGCCAGATCCAAGGGTGGGGGGATGGCCTGGCTCAGGGGGGCAGGAATAGATGGGGGAGCGGCCGCCTCAGGGCGGACACCTGTTCAATGGTTCCCTGGGTGAGGTGAGTTTGTTGGGTCTCTGCACAAATTTCCTGTCCTGCAAGTTTCACTAACCAGTCCCCCTTGCTCGCTGAGGGGCTGGATCTGGGGTGAGGGCTGCCTATGTGGGGAGCTCTCCCTGGGCCCCGCTGGGAGCTTTCCTGTCAGCTAGTCACACACTGACTGCAGCATGATGCAAGCAGGGTGGAGAGGTGTTAAACGACACCGGGAGGACCAGGCCGGGAGTGGGGCTGGCCTCAGCCCACAAGTCACTAACCACACGGCGCAGCTGACATAACCAGGGCAGGGTTCCCAGGCAAGAGAGCGGGTGCGCATGTGAAAGGCAGAGCGAAAGGATATGGCAGCAGGTCAGGGTTCTTGGCAGCCAGGCGTCACCTCTACGCGGGATGTTGGGGTCAAAGCCTTAGGGCAGGTTATGGTGAGAGGGGTTGAGTAACCGGATCCCCACTCTGGAGGGGGAGGTGGCTGCGCAGGAGAATGTTCTTGTGCCTGCGGTGAAACTGCTCTGACCCAGTTTCCTTCAATACCCCATTCCCCTGTAGGACCAGCCCCCGCCCTGGGGTACAACATTGACACCGTCCACCCGGAGGTGCTGGCCTCCAATGCCAGTAGGAATTTTGGGTACCAGGTGCTGCAGTTCAAAGATGCAAGGTAAGTGCTTCCCCCCCGCCCCCGCACTGCAAGAGAGACCCGGCATCTGGCGAAGGGAGGAGTGGGATCTAATGGATTAGCGGGGGCTGGGAATCAGGACTCCTGGGTTCTAGCCCCAGCTCTGGGAGGCCAGTGAGGTTTAGTTTATGACGTAGGAGGCCCCGTTCTGTAACTAGGCCCCAGACTGTGGTGCATTTCAGTGTCCAGGACGGCCAGGCCCCTGCCCCCCTCGTTCCCGGTGGGATCCCCCCAGCCTGTGTATGGTCCACACTGGGTCATGCGCCAACCATGATGCTGACTCCCTCTTCCGCTTTCACTACCCGAAAGCAGGCGGCATCCGCCAGGGCTAATTGGGAAGTGAGAGCATGTCAGGGGCCACGGCTGGCAGCAGTGTGTGTGTGTGACCCAATGAAGGACTAACTGGAACCCAGAAATCAGGAAGGAGGTGGGGACTCATCATGTGTTAGAGCCGGGAGGGGGCTGGGAGTCAGGACACCTGGGTTCTAGCTCCACCCTGTGTGGGGTCCCTGGCAAGCAGGTATGTCCCATCCCCGGCGTCTGATCTGCCTTCTTTTACAGTATCATCGTGGGAGCGCCAGGTGACCAGAACTCCACCGGGGAGCTGTACCAATGTGCTGTGAAGAAAGGCTCCTGCCAGCCCATCCCATTGCCGGGTGGGTCTGGGGAGAAATCGGGGTGGCAGGGTACACGGGGCACCGGACACGGCGAAGCACTGACCCCATTTCCCTCTCCTTGCAGCGAGTGCTCAAACGGCGCATCTCGGCATGTCCCTGGCGAGCAGTGGCGCAGACGCCCAGATGATCGTGAGTGTGCTGGGGGGGGGGGGGGGGGGACGACGACGACGACATTGGCTGCGGGACAGGCCCTGATGGGACATCTCCATTTCTGCTGGGGACGCTCCTGCCTCAAGTGGGGACAGGCTAGATGGGGCGTCTCCCTCGCTGCCATCCCCTCTTGGATTCTCCTGCTGTTGGGCTTATACCTGGAGACCCAGGTCCCGTCCCCATCTCCCTGTCGGGTTTGGCTCAGTCATAGACATGCTGATTTCTAGTCCTATGGGCTCCCTCCCCCCATTACATACATGGCTGGTAACTGCCCTGCTCGGTGCTCCCCATAGGCCTGCGGCTCTGGGCTGAGCCGAACGTGTGATGGGAACCAGTACCTGAGTGGGATCTGCTACCTCTTCAAGGGACACCTAGAGCAGCCCAAGGAGATGACACCAGGGTTTGAAGGTAAGGAACTGACAAACTCAAAGCACTGAGACCCCGTTGCCTTCCCACAGAGCCCAGGAGTCCTGGCTCCCCACTCAAACCCATCAGACCCCACTCCCCTCCGAGAGCTGGGGAGAGAACCCAGGAGTCCTGGCTCCCTGCTCTAACTCACCATACCCCACTCCCCTCCGAGAGCTGGGGAGAGAACCCAGGAGTCCTGGCTCCCCGCTCTAACTCACCATACCCCACTCCCCTCCGAGAGCTGGGGAGAGAACCCAGGAGTCCTGGCTCCCCGCTCTAACTCACCATACCCCACTCCCCTCCGAGAGCTGGGGAGAGAACCCAGGCGTCCTGGCTCCAAGCTCTAACTCACCATACCCCACTC